CTCCCCAACAACTCTCCCTCCTCAGCCCTCATCTCGAGATGAAACCAATTTTTTAGGCCCCACAGGAGACAAATTACTCCTAATAATCCCTCGTTTCGTGGAGAGGGATTCTTTCGTCCGGGCTCCGCCAAGAGACCAGAGCCTTAATGGATATATGGAATTAGGAGGAAAATGTTGCCGATGGATCAGTGATGACAGACAGAATTCTGATTCTCATTTTTGCTTCAAAAAAAAAAGAAAGCCCCTCTCTAATACATCAGCCCTCTTGATAAGCTGACTCTGACATGTGAGGTGGTAGTTGACAACTGATATGTATTTAAATCACATAAACAGCTGAAGAACAAATAATGTTTCAAAGCCAGAATACAAAGTCTCTGATGCAATTATGTGTGACGCAAAGCATTCAGGTAATTTAAACAGCTGTGAGCAAGATTCCATACTTTACTATAGCTGTATTTCAGATGTTTCCCAAATTGTAATCCTCTGATGTGAAATTGGCTAAACTGAGAGATGTAAAACTGTTTGAAAGCTTTCACATCTAACTCGCTTTGAAGTTACACCTCTAGCTCTTAATTCTATTCCTTCACTCTTCCTCCTCCCAAAGACCTAGAGAAAAATGAAGCTTTCATCTAGGCGACCTATCAAATGACCCCTCTCGGTGACAGACACCTTAAACAACCAACCAATAATAAACACCTGGTCAGGCAGCTCAGGTAAACAAATCAGGAAGCCCAAATGGCTCATAATAACAGCCATTTTGATGCTTTTACTGAAGGGGAAAGGCAAGAGATAGATGAAGGGAGAGGAAGTAAAATTGGATGTGTAGATATTTGTATACAAAGATAGGTGCGACTCTTCTTATATTTATGTTGAAGGAGAAACAGTCTTTACGTTTTTTTAAGACTGTAGTAATGGTCTGCATGGAAGTTTTTATCAGCCTAATTTTAAAGCCATATTTGCATTATTGGTGTTATGTTTTCCCGTGAATATAGCAAATTATGGATTTTAAATAAATTAGCTAAAATATTAATAAGAAACATCTAGTTCTTCTTTGGTCATATTGATATGTTCAGATCTAAGTGCTACTATTTTCACAGTATCTTACTAACCTGAAAGGTATGGGGTGTATTTATATTCAGCTCCAATGAGATATTATGATGTTTTCAGAGCAGTTACAGCTTTGTATCATTAAGAATATTAAAAACATTTCATTGCTTCACAAAAGAAATCTCTCTACAGCATAATTCTGCCAACACCTTAATTAAAGGTGGTGGTAGTGGTAGCTTTGCATGACCAGTAACGTTTTCTATGTAGTTCTTTGTTGTTTTACCAAAGCATTGTCTCTTTTACAGGTCATGCTCCCAACATGGATCGTTGCAAATTTTAAAAAGGACTTTTAAGCTATCCCATACATTGGTTCTTGTTGCCAAAAGGTCAGATTTGTGAGGGGCACAACTAAATGTTTTCCTGCTTGATCGATCGTCCCACCTAAGCTGTAGATCTCTGCAATATCTCAAGAGTTACCATTGGCCTCTGAGCTGCTTTTCTGATTGATGCTCTCCTTGCCTGGCCTACAAATTTACAAGGAAAGCCATCTTTTATTGTGTTCGAAGTACTGAAAATTAGCACTTACTGTATTTTTCTCTAATGAGGGCAATTTGGTAAACAGCTTTTGGCAAACAGCAATTGTCAGCTGACCACAGCATAATGTTTCAAATTGTGCCATCATCTGTTTACTGCCTCACAATCAAGCCATTCTCCATGAGATGTTAAAAGCGTGGAATATTATTTTAGAACCTAACTGTGCTTTCATCTTCTTCACACCTCTATCCCTGACCTTTCTTTTGGTGTCATGATTGAATGTGTTCTATCACAATAACTTGAAGGCATTCAGGTAAATGCGTATTTATAAAGATAGATTTGTACATAGATGGACTCTTTACTAATTAATTCAATTCTGAACAAAGTTGGTTGGACTATATTTTATTAATCAAATTAAAGTAGTATATGTAATTCAAATTAGTACTTCACTACTATAATTTCAACTATTATACAAGAACTGAATACAATGTGCCTTAGAAGGAATTTGTTATTTGAAAAAATTTGAAATTTGTTTTCGTAATCTTAAACAGTCTTTTTAAGGTGGACCTACTAAATGCCATTTTCATGGGTGATCCTGTAATTTTGTTATCCATGTTTGGTTTCTACCAGAAGCTTAAAGGTGTCTGACCAGCCTTTGTTTGGGAAAATCGTAGTTCTCACCCTTTGGTTGCTTTAGTAGTTGTGTTAAAAAGCACACAAAATTGCTCATGGTGATGAAAAATATTTGTCTTTATCCAAGTGCATATGGAACAAATACTCTGGCATCTTACAGTTTGTCTAAACAGCATTTCATGTCTTTCCATGATAACTTTTGCAATTGTGGCATTTCCACACATTAAGCAATTTAAAATCACAGGTGAATGGGTTTGTTTGGACGATAAGTAGCTTAAGAAATGAGCCGAGCCATCATTCTCCTCCATCAGAACCAGGGGGCAATTTGAGGTTTTGTCAGAGATCCCTTGTTAACAGTGACAAAGCATTATCTAATAATGTGAAGTTGGTTGTATAGTCGTGTTAGTCAGCTGTTTCATAAAAAAAAAGCCACCCAGAACCAAAAATCTAGTTTTTATGCTCTGCTAATGGAGAAAAAACTCCCAGAAAACTGTATATGTGTTGAAATCATCAGTTACTTTAAATGCAGATTAAAAACTATTTAATAAGTGTGGCCTTTGCAGGTGCTATCTAAAAATCATTGGTTTATGCTGTTGCATCAACTTCTTTTCATTTTATTATCAGTATATCTTCCTACATACCTTTCCCTGTGTTTTTTCTCATTATTTACAGCATCTTAAACTATCTTGCAACTAAAGCATGCAATATGTTTGAGTGGTGGCCTAGTGGTTAAGACATAGAGCAGGCATCCCCAAACTCGGTCCTCGAGGGCCGCTGTCCTGCAGGTTTTAGAGGTTTCCTTGCTCCAGCACAGCTGATTTTAATTGAAAGCTGATTAACAGGCTTCAGCTCTACTGCAATAATGAAAATCAGCTGTGCTAAAGCAGGGAAACCTCTAAAACCTGCAGGACGGCGGCCCCCGAGGACCGAGTTTGGGGATGCCTGACATAGAGCTTGGAATCCTGAGGTTCTGAGTTCGAGCCCCACTCCCACTGATTGCCGCTCTGGCTCTCTGAGCAAGACCCTTAACCCCACACTGCTCCCCGGGCGCCCCACGATGGCAGCCCACGGCTCTCAGGTACAATTATACAAATACTTCTTGCCTTTCAGTCTACTTTTGAAAAAAAAAAAGACCTGCTAGTTTTCCATAATATATATGTATATATATTTTTTTTTACGTTTGTATAATTAGTCATTACATTATTGGTGTAAAGATGTTTTATGAGTAATTTCTGCTGTTTCATTTTGTAATGATGGTTTCCTATCTGCTAGTTTCAGAGAGCAAAAAGAGAAAAATAAGAGGCAACCCCAGGCAAAATTGGATTTTGTCACTGGGGCTTTGCTGTTTGAGGGAGGGCTATCAGACAAGATTAGCCCTACCTTGGTGGTAATGGAACTATGAGCATTTTGAAAAAACCTTCTATCTAAATTTAGCCTTTAGACTTCAGTTTGCTTATAGTTTGATTTGAGTTTGTCGAATACCTGATTGAACCTGATAGAAAGTAATACATAATAAAGATGTCTCAAGCAATAATATGTTTAACAGAGTATATTGCATTGAACCGCAAATAAAATGGAGTTTATGAATAATTTTTCATACAGAAAAATTTATATAAAAATGAAGACATATCGCCCATGAAAATAAATCAATATAAGTAAAGATTGTATTTTTCAAATAAGGCTTGGGGAGTTTAAACAAGCTTGTAGATAAAACTCCATAATCCAACAGATTTCAGTTGATTCAAACGGTTACAATTGGCATATTTTCACAACCTTACACTTATCTTAGCTTCTACATTCACCCAGACATTTCGTTCGACACAGTTTAAAAATTTGGACTGTTATTATATTTTTTAATTAAATGGGCAGACAACTTAAAAAAAAAGGTCTCCGTCAACTATGTTAATCATCTCGTCATCATGGTTAAACCATTAATTGCTTTCTCAAATAACAAGATTATTATCTAGTTATCATAAGAAAACTGGTAATGTTTTCTCGAGATAACGAGATGATTAACCTGTATGAGAAATGAATAAGGCTGGCCAACAGCCAAGGATTCCCAGTCCATCCATGCCTGTGGTGAAAATTTAATCTGGACTCATTTTGGGGTGAATGCATCTTCTACCTGTTAGAGGCATAAAACCGGAGCCATTTAGAAAACACTCGGTGACAGAATACCGGACTTAAGGCATAGGTCTAATTGCTTATGAATCAGAAGTGGAAGCAAACCAACAATGTCGTCTCATTACCTAAAAGTTAAACAAAGGATTATTTACATTATTACACACAGACTATCATGACTTATACTTGTTAATCTCTCCAGCTGTTGTATTGAAGGATGTAGTCAGTTTTAACGCACACTAATAATCTTCTTATCACGTGAAAACGGCTTATATTATCTGTAGATAATGAGAAAATTAACTCGTTTTCTTGAGAAAACCACCGTAAAAAAAAAAAGTATCAGAGGGAAATGACAATTCTCGGCTTCCGTAGAGTAAAAGTTTGTGTGTTTTTATAACTACAGTTTATTTCAAAACCCTGCACGGTCTGAAACCTGTTGCATGAGAGAGTCTTTGAGCAAAAAGAGGAGGATGTAAACAAAGTGACCTTTAATCTGTGGTTACCATGAGGAAATGCTACAGACTAGAGTTGTCAACACAAAGGTTAGAAGGAAGAGTGAGAAAGAGATGATAAATGGAATATATGCAGGCATGAAAAAAAAAATGTGCAGCTGTGATCATAGATCTGCATATGTTCTCATTGGGGGGGTGGGGGGGTTAACTTACCTCTGCCAGAGGAACAATGCCCTGGATGTCAGCATTGCTAATGTACAGGTGGGAGACTTTCTCTGTTTGCTTCGAAGCTGTCTGTGTGTTAGCAGGGTATTCCACAGTCCAGTGTAGAGTCTGGGTTGGCACCAGATTAATCACGTTATCAACCTCAAATTCCAGCTGCATTACTTCATATGAAGGACTTGCCAATCTATAAAGACAGAGAGAAAATACCCATTATTCAACATGTTTTTCTGTAGACTAATTTTGTCAGGGAAAAGGTTTTGCTTTTTGGTTGGTACTAAGCAGTAAAATCTAACTGCATCATAAAAAACTTGGAAAACCTACAGCAGTCTAAAGTTAGGCATGGTGGTGGCTCATTCTCGGAACTCAAAAAGGATTTTGCAGTAAGTCAAAATGTCATCATGAGGGACCTGCTTAAGGAATGAGCAGAAAGGAAGAGGTGTGTCCTCTAGAGCAGTGTTTCTGTTTCTGTACTTCTGTACCCCTTTAGGCATTTTTTTGCATTCCCTCAGCCAAAAGTATTGATCATTGTCCCAAAGTGGAATGTGCAATAACTGACTATAAAGACTATTTTACTTAATCTTTTAATTTGAGCATTTAATTCTTATGAGTTTATGCTTTCCATCTCACATAAAGAACAACATTAATATGTTGCCTGGAAGTCAGTAAAGAATTGAAATAATTACAAAAAAACTCAGACTCATAAATCTGCCTTTATAAGACCAGTGACTATCTCATAATCACATTTAAACTTGAGGAATTTGTAACAAAATATAGAACAAAAATTTAAGTCAGACTGCCTTAAATAGATTTATTGTGTTTTCAATAAGACACCTGAGCTGCTTTGATAGCTCCGTGTGAAAAACAGCTGATACCAGGCTGTTTGGTTTGGATTTCTGTCAAAGCTCAAGATTAACTCAAACATATAAGAAAAACTTACTATATTTTAAAGAACCCCTTGCAATGCACTTGCAGACCACTAGGGGTATCCGTACCCCGTTTGGGAAACATTGCTCTAGAGAGCTGCATAATGCTATGAGTGATACCCTGGAAATATTTTTAAACCTGTTTAATGCTCTTTGATGACATTTTGCAAGGTGCGGTACGTCATAAATGTGCAGTGTAACTGTAAAATTTCTGTGTTTAGTATTTACCCTGAATCAAAGCAATACCAGGCATTGTTATCCTATGGAGCACGACAACTTAGACTTAGACAGATTTTATTTGTAATTTTGATTACACAAGTATAAAACAAAAGTGCAGCCCTATAAAAAAAAAGTTTTAAACATTTTTTATAAAATGACAAGCGCCATAGGCTAATAAAAATGAAACTGGTGGAAATATCAATGCAAACGCTTTATGAAACTGCAGACTCAGTTTTGCAATCTGTGCATTTGGTTTACCCAGTGACATCTGTCACTTTTTTATGTCAGTATAATGTAAATAAAATAAAATTGAAGCTGTCAACTGTGTTAATTAAAACTGCTTTAAGTTTTATATAGCAAAATATCCACTAAATTTATAGCACGTGTCAGCAACACAACCGAAATATTTATAGATGTAAATAATCTGTGTGCATAGGATTCCAAAATGGAGAGGATATCATTTAGTAAAGCATAAGCACAGATTTCCAGTGGCTTTTTTTTGTGTGTGTGTTTTTTTTTTTATCAACCCACTGACACTTGCCATGCTCTGTATTATTCAGTTGTGTTTCAGAAAACCAAAAATTATGCTGTCGCTGTTATTCTTTGAGTACTCTGTAAAGGGATTTCTAGTTGCTTTTACATTCTATCTCACATAGCTGCTCTTGGGATGGTGAATCCTGAAAATTATGTTAAAATGCTACTTGTACATATTTTATTTATCCTCAAACTGCTGAAAAATACATAAAAGAAAGTCAAAGTTAAGACTCTATCACAAATGCTCTATCTGTGTGAAATACCTTGTATTTCCTGAATGAAAGTATTTCAAAATGATATTTAATGGCATATCTGAAGCAACATTATACATTCAAAGTCCAAGACCGATTCTTCTGAGACCAAGATCGAGACCAGACCTTCCCAGAACAAGACTGAGGCTGAAAGTTTAGATTTGACAATAATTCAGGACCAGATTTTTGTACATCACAAAATGCTAAAATTAATGGAATAGTGGTTATTTAATCAATCAAAATTACTTATTTCTATTAAACGAATAATTGTCATAATGAACTGAAATCAAAGTTAATAAATACAAGAACTCAGAGATACACATTATCTAAACTTAATTAGTTGGTTCACATTGCGCAAAAGCTACTGTTTTAGAAACAGTGAAAATAAATCAATTTTTCTCATCTTTGTCAGACCAAGGCTGGTTTCGAGACCCTTATCCCTGGTAGAGACCTTTAAAAAGAAGCATAAAAAGACTCAGCATTGACAGAAAAACATCTTTTAAAGCCCAAATATTTACAAAATCTGTAAATGTTTGTTGGTTATGTAATTGTTAAATATTTAGTTGTTTTTTTTGTTTTTTGTTTTCAGAAACTATCCAACAAATAATTTCCAAGAATTATATTTTTTCTTATTATTTTCCTTACTGCAGATTTTAACATCCTAAAAAAACAAAAGTACTGATCTATGTTTAACACAATAGAAAGGAAATATGAATTACAGACCTCTGGAACAGTTTACTTAACATTTTAAAAGATTTGTTAAGCAAAACATTTAATAAACAGATGTTGTAGTGTTTCCTCCTAAAAGCATGAAGCACAGTTCTTCTCAGTATCGGGATTGAAGTATGCCAAATAACAGTTCGTAGCCATTGCCTCTTAGGGATGCGCTGGCGTCAACAAACCTCCATGCTTAAATAATAAAAAGTATTTTCTTTTTGTTCCTGAAACAGGGGTTCAAAGAGACAATAAAGCTTCCCTTTACTGTGCCACAAATTATAATTAGGAGAAAAAATCAAGGAAGGAAACAAACTCGGGCAATTGCACAGATAGATCAGGGTGTGAGGCACAAATATCCTTATTCAATTTAAGGAACATTTTTTGAGACTATGTTTAACAGTTCATTGAGCCGCGCATAAGAGGTCTTCATGAGGGCATGTTTTACACAGCCAGCCTCCTTCAGCTTAGGTTCCATGTCAACACAACAAAGGATTCGAGGTGACAATAAACTAATTATATGCTTCTTAAACAGCCACATTAATGGTGTAGCACCTGTATTTCTTTTCAAAAACCTTTTGTGCATTCATAGCAGACCAGAAAGGAATGTTATTCCAATCACATCTAAATCTTGCAAGTGAAGCAAGAAAAGGTGTTTATCATAGCCAAGGTGACCGGCTTTCCTCAGAAGCACATATGTAGTGTCCAACCAAGGCAGTCTGAAACTGGAGAAGCAGCCTGTGAGCCATTTGTAGCCTGAAAGCTGTTACTCATTCAGAGATGTCAATGAGTCCCTCATCCAATGGCAGATATAGAGCAGCAGTTCTCAGCCAGTCCTGCCCTGACTAGAAGAAATCAACAATGGTCCTTTAAATTTTATCCATAATGCTCCACGGTGGGTACATTCAATTTTAGGCCAGCTGGCTGAGATGACCAGCATATTTACCTGCAGGGGTCGTATATAAAGCTTGTGTACGCATAACATGGGGCCTGAAAATTACGTATGTTGACTTACAGTACAAACTTGGTGATAAAATGCATGGTTCTTCCCATCAACTCTGACCCCTCCGTATGGGGAACACGCATTTTGGAGATACTGACTGTGGTGGGGGACTGAAGGCAGATTGCATCATAATTCCTTTCGGACATTTGATTTACTTTCATACTGTATGAAACTTTAATTGTAGATCTAATACACTGCAAAAACAATCCAGAAATAAGTAAAAAATGGCTTAAATTAAGTATATTTAGCCTTAATTTGAGCAGGTAAATAAGATGATTTGCCAATGGAATGAGTATTTTCACTCTTAAAATAAGATAGTTAGATAATATTTACTTGAAATAAGACGATAAAATAGTTTTTTCTTATTTTAAAAGGAAATTGTCTTGTTCCATTGGCAAAGTGTCTTACTTATCTCCTCAAATCAAGGAAAAACACACTTATTTTAAGAAAAAATAACTTATTGAGATTTATATTTTTTGCAGTGAATTGGATTGCTGGCACTGCTGAGCCAGCGTACATATGGCACGAATAGAAAAAGATTAATAAGCAGCTTAAATTCAAATCGAAATCTGCCAAATATTTAAATATTTTTTTTCACCATAACAATGGTCTCCCTAATAACCAGCAGGGCGAAACGTGCCATAGATCACTGTTTAAATGTAACAAGGTGTGATAAATTCACACTGTTTTTCTGCCACTTTAGTGAAATAAGCTCAAGAATTTTTTTTTTTTTTGCAAATAGGGTATTGATGAGCAAAACAAAAGGTTCATTTTTTATTCAAACATAGTTTTTCCACAGTTTTTGGTTTTAATCGGGTTGAAGTTATGTGTTCATCCAAACTTTTGGCTAAACCAACCAATCTAACTTAGCAGTGTTTTTAGCCAATCTATATTTGTACAAGGGCAAACCTATACAAAGTACATAAGCCAAAATACTACATAGGAAAATAAGTAAGTAATGTTTATTAATATAGCACCTTTCGCAGACATAGAGGTCACAAAGTGCATGGTCATAAAACTTCCCTTAAACTACTAGAATTAAAATGCTTTCTTAAACAAATAGGTTTTCAGTTTGCTCTTAAAAACATCAACAGAATCAAGTAAGCGCAAGGAAAGCGGGAGATCGTTCCAAAGCGCTGGTGCGACAGCCTGAAAGGAACATCTCCCAAGGTCCTGTAACGAGTACAAGGACCATGAACAGGTTCTGGTCCTGAGACCTCAGCCTCCGAGAGGGGGTATAAGGACACAACAAGTCTCTAATGTAGGAGGGAGCCTGACTGTGAAAGGCACTGTAGGTCAGCAACAGGATTTTAAACTGAAACCGAAAAGAGACTGGGAGCCAATGAAAAACTTTTTCTTAAGTATTATCAAAACTTTCATATATATATATATATATATATATATATATATATATATATATATATATATATATATATATATATATATATATATTTATAAGGTAGGTCTAAACAACAACCATTGAAATTGGAAGTCCATGTCTTACAGATGACGCCACTAGCAATGGTAACTGCATAGTGGA